ATAGGGATTTGAGTCTTAGAAGATCCCATTCATCTATGTTATCTTCTCCTGGTTGTAGGTTTTCCAGGATACTGGGAAGACTATTCACGGTTATTGTTGGCCAAGATACTGTAATACACCATTCTGTGTTCCTAACATGACAAAACTTCTCTCGCCACACTGAACTTCAGTGATATGCTTGCAGGTTGGTTTTTGTTTGATTCCCCCCCCCCAAGAATTAGTAAACAAAATAGTTATATTAATGTTAATCCACCAGTGTTTTTGTTCTAAAACTGTTATGGAAGATTATTTTAGTTGTTATGGACCATCAAGTTGGAACCATCAGAACCGACTCATAACTGACCTCTGAAACCATGTTTTCAGAGACAATTTAATTGCACAGGAAATGACTGCTCATCTTTCTCCTATGGAGCAGCTGGTGGATTCAAACCATGTGCCTTTCGGTTGGCAGTGCAATTCCTTACCACTAAGCCACCAGTGGTCCTTACTATCTCAGTAGCAGGTCAATTTTTTTCAGAGTTTATACCAGGCAAAACTTTATCTCCTCTGAGGAATTGATATGCTTTCTATTTTAAAAATGGACTTAGCCAGTGTAAAATAAGTCAAAGTTTTCTAGAAGCTCTGAGAAAACATTTACTTTTCTAAATAGTAGCTATGTTGACCTTTAAATGAGCGTGTTTTCTCTTTTTTTAATATTCTAATTTTACCTCTTTTGCTGATATTTTATTAAGTTTGTTATTGTTTGTGTGTTTTTTTGTAAGCTGCCTGAAAGTCTTTGAGAAATTAGCAGTGTATAAATAAAGTTTAAATTCTTTAAATTACAAATGTATAAATAAATATCCTCAGGAGCTCTGATGGCAAAATCCATAAAGAACTGCGATGCTGATGGAAAGGCTTCTCCTCTGGCAGGTTGAATACATCAGCGACTGTTTAGGGAGGGAAATGGACTGTCTCCTCCCATGTGGTTTGCAGCTTCATAGACTAGCAGCTTAGCTATGAGTTGATTCGAACTCAACAGCAATGATTAGAGTATAAATAAGTCTGTGGGGCATTGGTGGTTCAATGGTAGAATTCTCACCTTTCACGACAGAGACCTAGGTTTGATTCCCACCCAGTGATACGGAGCCACAACTACCCTGCCAGTGAAAACTTACTTATATGTTGCTATGATGTTGAACCGGTTTCAGCAAAGCTTTCAGACTAAAATAGACAATAAAGAGCACTGCAATCCCCAAGGTATGTGATTCGAATCCACCAGATACTGTGCTGAAGAAAGAGGGGCAATCTCCTCCTGTACTCGTCAGATCCGATGTGACTGTACACACAAAAAAAATAAAAATAAAAATAAATTAACAAAATAGACAATAAAGACAAGCCTAGTGATCTACTCCTTAAAATCAGCCAGTGAAAACCTGTGAATCCCAACAGTCCGATCCACACCGACTGTGGGGATGGCAGGGGCCGGGTGGTGCAGGGCTGAGTAGAGTTTTATTCTGTTTCCCACAGGTCAGCATAAGTGAGAGGTCAACTTAATGGAAGCTAACAGTGCTAAATCATTTTTAATAAATAAATAAATTACATTTGGAATTTTGGTCCTGTGTATCAAGGGGAAAAAATTGTATGTTTTTTTAGCAGAACAGAAGATGGAGTTATTTCAAATCCTCTAGCACAAGCAATTGCAGAAGAAAGAACTGAGGAATGTATTCCTGCACTAAGGAGGGACCGAGCTTTATGTACAGAGATCGGGATTAAAACTCCTCTCCTCCAGCTTTCCAGAAAAGGTAACTTCAGCTTTCAGTAACTTTTTCAGAAAGAACAGACATCTCAGCTTTATTGAAAAACAGTGTTTGGTGTTTTGCCTCTCCCTTCCCCTTTCCTCCAAAGATTCCTTTCTAAATCATAATTAGTCAAACAGATGAGGCAAGAGAGGTCTATAGTATTCAATTTGCTTTTCACCGTGATCATGACCAGATTAAGAGGAAGTACTATAGACACTGTTGCCATGGGGGTCCATTCTGACACATAGTGGTCCTATAGGATAGAGTAGAACTGGCCTATAAGTTTTCCAAGGCTGAAGTTTTTGCCAAAGCAGAGTATATCTTTCTCAAGCAGAACAGCTGGTGGATTGGATTGGAACCACCACCCTTCATCTAGCAGCTGAGCACTTAAGCACCGCACCACAAGGACTCTTTTGTATTCTGTAAACCACTGCAGCCATATCGATCCCAACACATAGCTGTTCTCGATCAGGTTTCAGGCTGGAAATGTATTGGGAAACTCTGTCCATTTTTCCCCAGTGGAACAGCTGGCAGATTCAGACCACTGACATTTTGGTTAGTAGGCCAAAAATGTAACACACCATGTATAGTCTATAGATGCAGATAAAACATACACACTCGATGACCAGTCAGACTCACGACCAGTCCTATAGTCTATAATCTGAGACCATTTTCTTATGAGCTCATTATTGTCCAGTGAATAAGACCTAAATATGTCCTTGCTCTTTTCCTCTCCCAGAACAAACCTGGCTACATATTGCTCTATGCCTCTTTACTACATATTTGGTCTCCTTGTGGCTATTCTTCTTACAATACCACTAACACAAGAGGTGCTCCCTACCTAAGGTAACGAAGAAGGGGACACACAGTCATGAATGAGTATAGCCTTTACCGCATTTGGTCATTCCACAACAGGAGCAAGCATCTTGGAAGAGTAAGTTAGAGTAAGTGTGATAAAGCCATTATACAGGGTACTCTGTGAGTGCAGATGTTGGATATGTAAGTTGGAGTCAGTGAAAATTCCCACAGTATGTAAGTTTGATTATAAAAAAAGAAATGGATACTAGCTTGAAATGAAGTAGAAAGAAGTAACTATGACCGAGAAAATGTGTCCAGATAAAAAGGTCCCCAGTGTCACAGTGGTTAAGTAATTCATCAGCTAACCAAAAAATTGGCAGTTCAAACCCACAGAGTTGGAAGGTGCAACCACTCAGCTTCTCTAAGGATTTGCAGCTGAGGAAACCAGCTGAGCACATCCATTCTGTGCCACAGGGCCACTATGAGTCAGACTCACCTCAGCGCAGTGGGTTTAGATTTTGTACCCAGACACATAGTTTCCAGCAGGTAGTCAGATCTGAGAGAAATGGAGAGGCTGAGGTGGAGACAAGCATCTAGGCATCACCAGCCTTGTGACTGAAGAAAAACTCCGCTGCCCAACAAGAGGTGATACAATGGGAAGAGAAGATTCACTAGAAATGAACCTAATTCACTAGAAAAGAAGACTAATATTTAAGTCCAACAGATGAACAACCAACAAAGGTACAATTTTTATGTTTCAAATAAAAGCAAAACCTGTTCACCTTCTTTTGGGAGCATGGATATTCCTGAATAAAGATGCATATAATTTATAAGTAAAGGTGTTAGTAAACATAATTTTTATTTATCGGGCTGTTCTGTATGCAAACCAATTTATTTTTAATTTTGTATATATTATATGTAATCTCAAAATAAGCGTCTAAATTGTGTAAAGGACCAAAATTTCCCTTTTGTAGTTGAGGAGACTAAGACTAGAAGGATTAAGTTAAGCAAACACAGCAGGGAGAGGAAGCTCATATACTTTCTAGAACATTTTTTATCAGTGTTATTCATCACATAATGAAAAGTACTCAATGCTCCATGTGTAGTTATAATAAGTAGTGGTTCACACCCTTCTCTCACTCATTTTCCTCTCCCCATGGCCAACCATTTATAATGCCTATCTCTTATCTCCAAATACCAGCCAACCAACCACTGTCATCAAGTCAGAGTTATTAACAGTTTGTACATCAGAATTATAAAGTTTGTACCATCCATAGCTGTAAATGCAAAACTAACATAAACAGCACATTGCAGTCAAGTTGGAACTGACTCGTACCTGACCCTCCAACAACTCAGAGGCGATAAACTGCCCAAGAGGAAAATGACCATCTTTCTCCCTCGGAGCAGCGGGTGGATTCAGACCACTTTCTTACCCATACTGCTTTATGATTTTTCATTTTGGGATATGCCTTCAGCTGGGTTCTTTAGAGAAGCAAAGCCTATAAATATATAGATATATATTCATCAAGAGAGGATTTTATATATATCTACATCTGAGAAAGGAGGGGACTTTTAAAGGAAATGACTCAACATGCATGTAGAGGCTACCAAGTCTTAATTCTGTAAGGGCAGTTCCTGCTCTCCAGTATGGCTTAAATAAAATGGCAATGACAGCAGATTTCAAGGATGCTGGAATTCCCTTCACAAATTTGTTCTTATACTGTGGGAGGCAGGGGAAGGTGTATCCCTTGGGCATTCCATTTCTTAGATCTAACCTGAAAAATTGACTCTAACATACCAGTTATCCTAAGCCTCTGGATGCCTTCTTCCATAGTATGTTAAGAAAGTTCTAGTACTTCAGCTTGACTTAATATAGGCTAGTACTTCAACATAACTTAGTGTAGAGTACTGCCCAATCTTTGCTTCAGTGAACAAATGAAAGAAGCTATCAGATCCTTTCTTACTTGAGCTGAAAGATTGAATTAAAAGATCTGCTTCATGATTCAAATCAATAAATTCAAACTGATCCAATTTTATGTCCCTTGCACCATTAGCCTACACCTGTAATAGCCATTTCCACACATACCCTCCAGGTTTCTGTTTGTACATTTTAGAAAAATCAACCAATTATTTTTTAATACATCATTCTGTTTCCTGGGTCACAGATCATACTGTACCCTTGGGGATTGACTGGAACTTAATTAGTTAAAAGCCTCACATCACCAGCTGTTCTGGAGAGTAGCAGGGGAGGCCAATTTCCTCTCATTAAGATTTACAGCCTCAGGGAGCTCTTGTGGCCCTAGTGGCAAAGATGGTGAAGCTTCAGCTCTTATACTTTGGGCATGTTGTTAGAAAGACTGATCCTTGGAAAGGGAAAACGTGCTTGGAAAGGTGGAGGGTCAGCAAAAGAGAAGACCCCTAACGAGATGGACTGGCAAAGTGACTATAGCCTCACTTCCCTTAGGGAATCAACATTCCCTCCTAGTGCTCACCACTCCCAGCTTCTGTAGAACCAGCTCCTTTAGATGACTTTCAAACTGGTCTCCAGCACCATGCCACCAACCAACGAGAGTTTTTAAATAGGAGGCCGTAACACATGGTCTCACTTCCCTTTGCAAATCAACATTCCACCCTAGTGCTCACCACTCCCAGTCACAAATACAGATTTCTTGCAGGAGGTTAATCAAATTGGCCAGATAGCATTCTTCCAAATATGTTGGCACAGACAAGTGAGGACTGTCAAAGCTACATTCCTATCAACTGTAGGGAAAATAAATTTTTGTTGTCTATCTGGCTTTGTTTTTTAACATTTAATGCAAACTCTCAGCTGCTAACAAGACAATTAGTGGTTCAGTTTACCTAGAATCACCCCGGAAAAAAAGGCCTGGTATACAGTTTTTCAAAAATCAGTTCTTGAAAATCCTGTGAAGCCCAGTTCTATTCACGCACTTGGAGTCTGTGAGTTAGAGTGAACTTGATTGCAGCTGGTTTGGGACTAAGCAATTTCAAAATACATTGGTCAGGATACAGCAAGAACTCCATCAGAGTTGAATGCAGGAGGCAGGCTGGCAAATTGTAGTCTTGAGGCAGAGTTCTTTCTTATGGACTGCCAAAAGAATGAACAAGTCTATCCTGGAAGAAGTACAGACATATCTCGTCACAAGGATGACTTTAAAACCATAGCATTGCTATCTTAGTTTTGCTGTTTTCTACCCACTGCATGAGGCCTAGCCACATTCTCAAGGGTAAATATCTTTACTTAGAAGCACCTGATTATAGATGGTTTTTCATTTCTTCAAAACATGCTCACAGCAATGTCTTGACTAGTGTTTGAATAAACAACTCTGTGGAACAGCCCAGCCAAATTGACACATGGAATTAGCTCTTGTATATATGTTGTTGTTGTTGTTGTTAGGTACCGTCATGTCAAGTATGGCTCTCTGTGAACAACAAATCTGAATCCTGGCCCATCCTGTGCCGTGTTTATTGTGTCTGACAGACTTGAGCCCATTGCTGCAGTCATTATGTCAGTATTCTCATTTGTATACAAATTCATGTTTTTCTTTCAAAATGCCTTCTTGCCAAACTACGAGCAAGTTTAGTCTATAGGTTACTTGCCTGGAAGTTCCTACAAAAGATTTATGGTAGTTGATGCTTTTATAATTTTGTTTCACACAGAAAGGAAAAACAAAGCTTTAATTATGATCTGATGGTAATAGTATACAAAAACTCATTTGAAGAAAAACCTAAACAACCCTTAATCACAATGTCCAAAACCCCAAGTTAAAATTAACCTAGCATTGTATTTTATTTTACAAAACAATAGAATACAATTCTCTACCTTGAATGGAAACATGCTGATCTTCTTACATTCTCTATATAAGCATGATCAGTAGGCTTTTATGTTCAGAATTAACTCAATATTAGTTTTAAAAGCCAGATAAGACAACTTTATAATCAACATAACTAGAAAATAAAATCAAGATGGTACATAATCCTGATGGCTTCTTATTGGTCAGTCTTGAGAAGAAGACTGAAATATAATTCATTTAAATTATCCTTGCACTAAATTATTACACCACTTTAATATCAAAGTCATTTTTATTTTTTCTGACGTAGAAAGGGAGACATTTTATACTGTTAGTTAAATGTATGTATGTTATTTACCAATCTTGATAGTGACATCATCTCTCTAAACTGTGGAAGATATTTGGAAACAACAAACATGGTTCCGTATTCTTCAACTGATTCATCTTCCATTCTTGGAAAATATTTTGGAGCCTCCAGTGAAGCCACAAAATCTTCAATTAAACAGAGAAGAAGATGTTGTTATACCAAACATTTGCCTGGAAAGAGAAGTTATTGAAAATATATGTTTACCTGAGTAAGTGACAATTTTCATCATCAAATAATTTGTAACTAAAAAGTTCTTTCCCATATTTGTCCCTTGGTATTTTAAGGGATGGGGGGGGGAAGAAGAACATATACATATATGTATGTTGAGACAGTATTTTCAGTTAGGAGCTTTGATGTAGTGGGTTAAATACTGGACTGCTCAACAGCAGGTTGGCAGTTCAAACCCAGCAGCCACTCTGAGTGAGGGAGATGAAGATTTAAAGCCTCCAAAGCCTGATGGAGGGCCACCAGGAATGGGAATCGACTTTATGCCAGTGGGTTTGATCTTTGTTTCTTTTCATTGGACCTAACAGAGAAAGTCCTTGTGCAGAAAATAAGGGAAGATTAATGAAAATCATAACCATTTCATTCATATGAATGCTTTTATTTGATAGATGATTCTCTCTTGCACTATTCCTGAATGTTCCATCATTTCCATTCCATGACACTAAAATACTATAACCATTACAATTTCTGACAGTTCATTCATCCCAGTCTAGCAGAGGAGACATGTAATAAAAATAATGAAAAAGACAGTTCAGTGATGACATAGAATCAGCCTCACTTGTGGAGAGAAGGTTCAAGGAACTCTATGAGCTGAATGAAGCATTTTGACTGCCAACTCCAATATATGTGTTGTTCCTAAGCAGACCAGTGGTTAGGACTACAGATATCAAACCTTGCATTCTATCGGAGTTCCAGGAGAGAAAATTTATGTCATCCTTTCTCCCAGTTGGGCTGAACAAGAAGAGAACATCAGAGTCCAAGGGTGAGGACCAGAGAGCTGCAGATCCTGAAAAGGATCCAGAGACTTGTGGACCCACTAGTGTGGCCATGTTCTGCACACAACAAGTTTCTATAATTCATAATAAGCCACAAAAGGACAGACCAAGGGCCTGAATTTTTCCCTCTCTTTTCAGAGTCTTTGACTTTGAGAGAGTGTAAGTAGGCTGGAAAAGACACTGGATTTCTTCAGTTGCCTCCACAGGAAACTGACAGCCATCTTGCTTTTTCAAGCTTCCAGGCAGAAAAGAATGAATTGTCTACAAGAGAAAGTATTTTAATACTTATTTAATAGCAAAGCTTTTGGTATTTTAATCTGCAACACTGGGATCAACTAGAAGCTAGTCAAATCCCACAGACTCGAACTGTGAGACTAGAACTTCAGTCTGAGGATCCTCTTGTTCAAGAATATTTTCCAGGATTTAAAAAAAAAATAAGAACAAGATATTTGAGGATTATTAAAAATAATATCAAGATTATTTTACTCAGGAACTCCACCCAAGGAGAGTACTACTTGAAGAAATCTTTTGATCAGGCTCCACAGAAACAACCAAACCATCAAGAGGAGAAGAGAGGAAATTGTGGTGAGCAAGGAACTTTGTTCTTTCACTGTTATTTTCTCCTTTTTAGTCCCCAGACTCATTCCAAGTTATGTGGTAAGACTCTCTCTAGATAAGAACTTGAAAAGAAGGAGCATACTATTAAGAGAAATTATAATAAATACTAACTCATACTTGACAAGCTGGGAGCAGATGTGCAGAACCAGAACTGAAAGGTCTTCCAAGAGTTACTGGAGGGATGGAGGGATAAAAGGATCCTAAATATCCTGTTGGGATGAAGGGATTTGGAAAGAAAGTGGTTTACAGAGAGATAAACACACACCTTGGTTGGAGAAATGATTGGTATCTTATTCTCAAATTTAAAAAAACCTTAATGCCTTTAAAGTATGGTGTTGTCAAAGAATATTAAAAAAATACCATGGACTTCCAAAAGCAGAAACAAATCTGTCTTGGAAAAAGTGTTGCGAGAATACTCCTTAAACCCATAGATGACATCATCTCACATGCTTTGGGCTTGTTACCAGAAGAGACTAGTACCTAGAGAAATAGAGAGTTCTTTAGATTTGTTTAAGTATGTTATATCTTATTTGTCTTATCAGTGTCCAGTGTAGTTAAATGGAAATGTCAACCCTCTGATTTCTGTTTTTCTTTTTTATTGTAAAAAAATGTGTGGGGATACAAGGGGGTAACGGTTGAGAGCAGAAGAGTGAGAATGAACATGGATGAAATCACATGGCTGTACAATTTGGTGGGTGGAAGGAAATGAGAAAGATCCCAGTGGGGACCAAAAAAGACAGGGTAATAGTGAGCATAGTCCAATGGTGATTAACTTTTTTTAACAAAGAAATTGCATTGTTCAATTGTGGGTTTCACGTTTGGGAATGGTGCACAGACTCTCTGGCTTCTTCATGCTGAACAGGGGTTGTTGATGTGAAAGAAAAGGGGAGCCCACATTAACACTTTACTGGAGGTCCTGGGTTGAAGCTGCATGCCTTCTTGTTCAGTTAGAAGATATTTTCCTGACATTTTCTGCCCTCTGGAGTCTGTGTCCGAATCCCAAATGTGAAACCCACAAGTGAACCAAACAATTTCTTTGTTAAAAAAAGTTAATCACCATTGATTAACTTTTTTTTTAATCAATGGTGAGTAACTTTTTTTAACAAAGAAATTGTTTGGTTCACTTGTGGGTTTCATATTTGGGAATGGGGCACAGATTCCAGAGGGCAGAAAATCCAAAAACGACTGGAACAGTACATCAACAGAGAACTGCCAGAAGTCTAGGCTGTGTTTAGAAGGAGTCGTGGTACTAGGGATATTGTAGCTGATGGTACATGGCTGAAAGCAGAGAATACCAGAAGAATGTCTATTTGTGTTTCATTGATTATGCAAAGGCATTTGACTGTGTGGATCATAACAAACTGTGGCTGACTCTGAGAAGAATGGGAATCCCAGAACATTTAATCGTGCTAATGCAAAACCTATACTTGGACCAAGAGGCAGTCGTCAGAACAGAGCAGGGCAACACTGCATGGTTCAAAATTGAGAAGGGTGTATGCCAGGGATGTGTCCTATCTCCATACCTTTTCAACCTGTACGCAGAGCAGATTATCTGAGAGGCTGGGCTCTATGAGGAGAAGCGTGGCGTTAGGATTGGTGGAAGATCTATCAACAATCTGTGTTATGCAGATAACACAACCCTGCCCGCTGAAACTGAGGAGGACCTCATGCACTTACTGCAGAGGGTCAAGGACTGCAGCCTTCAGTATGGACTGAGGCTCAATGTCAAGAAGATAAAGATTCTCACCACTGGACCAATTGGTAGCATCAGGATGGATGGTGAAGAGATTGAGAGTGTTCACAGCTTCAGTTTGCTTGGCTCCACGGTCAACACTCTTGGCACCAGCAGCCAGGAAATAAAAAAACGTATTGCGATGGGAAAGTCTGCTGTTAGGGACCTCTCTAAAGTACTCAAGAGCAACGGTGTCTCTCTGGAGACTAAGGTGCACACAGGCCATGTTCTTTGCAGTCACTTGTTATGCATCAGAGAGTTGGACAATGACTAGGGAGGATAGAAGGAGAATTGACGCCTTTGAGCTGTGGTGCTGGAGAAGAATATTGAATGTTCCATGGACTGCCAAGAAAACAAACAGATTCATCCTAGAGAGGGTTAAACCAGGCTACTCCTTGGAGGCAAGGATTCTGGGGCTTCGTCTGACATACTTTGGACATGTTGTAAGGAGAGACAAGTCCTTGTAGAGGGACATCATGCTTGGGAGGGTAGAGGGACAGCGCAGGAGGGGAAGACCCTCTATGAGGTGGATTGATTCAGTGACTGGGGTAATTGGGATGGGTGTGTCAGAGGCCATGCGGTTGGCACAGGATAGAGCAGGGTTTAGGGCTGTTGTACATAGGGTCGCTATGCGTCGCAAATGACTCGACGGCACATAACAACAACAATCACCATTGGACTATGTTCACTATTACCCTGTCTTTTCTGGTCCCCACTGGGATCTTGACAAAGTGTTTGCCAAGATGAGTCCTATGGGCGTGAATGGCTGAACCCTAAGACTCTATCCTCCTTTACTTCCTTAGCTAGCAGTTATATTTCCCTTTTTCTCTGGAACTTGGCTCAGGGTTCAGGTCTAGAACAAGACTCAGTGTTAAGGTTACTTATAGGAAAGGGAGCAAACCTAGGGAGAACAAACCTGTGAGTTACAAGGAGTAGGGCTTTGGAGGTGTTACTTACAGATGTACTGGGGAAGGAGGTGGAGGAAAGTGGCTTAGATAAAATTCCTCGTATACACTAGACAGCTCTCCCCAGAGACCTGATGGCTCTTCCAGGGGCCAGATGGCAAACGCCAGGGGCTGAGTGGTACCTCCCATCATATCCTCCCCAGGTCTGGACCCTGAACCCCACTAAAGACTATGGTCAGGGACAGCAACCCTAGTTCCAGTGCTGCCTCCATTACCCCCCTCCCCTCTACCAAGTGGTCTGACTGCAACTTGAAGTAAGCATCACTACCTTCCCTCTCTAAAGATGGAGAAGGGTCTTTGAGAGTGGTGAACAGACTTACCCTAGGTTGAAACAGTTCTTGGCAGCAATAGTCAAGAAATCAAAAGATATGGTACATTGAGGAGATCTGCTGTCCAGGATCTGTTTTTGTTATTGTTAAGTGCCATCGAGTTGTAGACAACTCATAGTGACCCTATGAATGAAAGACCTGAACACTTATATAACAATACTTACATAACTTTCATTGTTTCTCTAATTTCATAGTTTCTGGAGGCAGACTATTTCGGAAGTGAATGCCACTCCTGCCTCCAAGCTTGTTTTAAGCTGGGAGCTCCATCACATACTGTCCACCATGGGTAACATCGCATTTGTCACATCAGTGTCACAGTATTTAGCATCATAGCAGCCACGAGTTACCTCTGTACAGCCAATTGACAGGCCAGTGATATACCACTTAGAAGAGCATTTGACTGAAAACAATTAAAACTAGATCTGAGGGTTGCAGATTAAAATCATCCACCTTTGGTTTGGTAGCATAACTTTCTATCCATTAGGCCCATAGAGTTATCTCTACGGCTCACAGCGATTCTGTGAACAATAGATCTAGTCCTTGCCATATCCTATGCCGTCCTCACAATCTGAGGTATGCTCCAGTCTCTTGCTACATCACTGTATCAATATATCATGTTGAGGATCTTCTTTTCTCCTCTAACCTATCCAAGGAACTCATCTTCACTGACAGTAAGATGCTCTCCAGTATCTAGTCCTTCACCTCTCATGGCTCCATGGCATTGCCGCCCCTACCTCCCACCCCACCCCTCTCTGTCCCCTCTTGGGCTGGAGGCCCTCAGCCACTGGCATCTGCCACCGCCGGCCATGCCGCCCAGTTCAGGCAAGGGGACCAGTGGGCTCTGGCCTCATCGGCCCTGCAGGGTCACAGTGGTGCAGGCTCGGTGGCAGGCAGTGGCCAGAAGTGGGACTCACCCATGTTTTTTCAAGAATCTTTGTTCTCTTGATGTTGAACCTCAATGCATATTGAAGACCAGTAGTCAGCTGTTTGGCTCTTGAGGTGTATGTATAAACTGAGGCTGTGGAGGGCCATGGTGGCCTGTTTCAATCCTCATGCTGCTTCTCCCGCCACCACCATCTTGGTTCCTAGAATTTCTTTAAGAATAAGTTTTTTCTGTGGCCTTCTCAGGGCTCCATTGCACCTGCCGAGGGGCCTGGAGCCCGCCACCTGTCTTAGGTGAGGGGATCCCAGGGCTTCAGCTGTGGTGGCCCCACGGGGCTTCAGCGGGATGGGCTTGGCAGTGTGGGGCTGGCAGCAGTGGGGCTCACCCATTCTTTTTTCGACAGTCTTTGTCCTCTTGATGTTGAGCCTCAATCCATATTGAAGACCAGAAATCAGCTGTATAATTGTTCAGTTATAGATAAACTGCGGGCTGTGGAGGGCCATGGTAATCCATTTCTAGGTGGCTTGCTGCACCTCCAGTTCTTCACGCTGCTTCCACCACCGCCACCTAGGTTCCTTCCTACTGATTTCTTTTATTTCCTATTTTCCCCCTAGAATTGGTAACTGGCTTAATGCCGCCATTGACTGTTTGGACGATTTCCCTGACCAGTTAGTAACTACAGTTAGCCAGCATATACTGCAAACCACAGATAGACAAAGTTGAATACTCAGACGAAGATACTCTTTGATGTCATAGTAAAACACTACAATCAAGAGAAAGATTGCCTATTAACTGATGAGTATTTTGATATATATTCAGGAATTATTGAACTCATAGGTAAGAAAGTTTAAGCTTTGATTTTCTACATAAGAGCATTTTTAAGCATAAGAATTCAAGTCTAAAATGTTTATGAGTTTTATATTTTAATATCTTCTGCAGTGTAAGGATACTCAGTGGAATTGGTTGATTTTTTTCCCCTCTCACTTCACTAATGATAATGTCATTTAAAATTAGAATATCAAACTAATTAATCTAGGGCTTTAGAAATAAGATACAGAGTATCACTGGGCCATTCTGAGAAACTTATCTTCATATAATACAAGAATTAGAGAATTAGGCACCTTACAGTATTAACTTTTGATGTACTCATTGTTATGTGCCTTTCATTCTTAATGAACTCATAGTTGACCGTCCATTGGGTTTTCAGAAACTGTAAATCACACAGGAGGAACTTGCTCATCTTTCTCCCTCAGAGCAGCTGGTGGATTCAAACTGTCTTCTTTGAATTGGCAGCACAACTCCTTACCCACTAGACCACCAGAGCTCTCACATGACCATTTGGTAACATAAAAATAGAATGGTATGATATCATGCCACTTCCCCCGCTCCCTAGTTATGTAAGTAGCCACAAAGTACTATTTGGTAATGCTGGATATGATTTTAAAGGAACAAGAACTATTACTGGGTAAGATAAAGCTCTGTATTTGCAACAATGAATGAATGAAAATCCAAAATCCATGTAAATGTTCATTAAAATTAATAATAAAAAAGATAAATCTCTGTGTTTATAAAAATGTTCATAATGGAGATTTTAATTCTAGAAAATCACTCCGACACCAAATAAATAGCATATTAACAGACTAGTAAGTTGTTGTTGTTGTTTGGTGCCGTTGAGTCGTAGACAACTCATAGTGACCCTATGAACGAACGGCCTGAGCACTGTTCGTACATAGAGTTTCCGGAGGCAAGCCATTTCGGAAGTGGATGCCGCTCCTGCTTCCAGGCTTGTTTTAGTCGGGAATCTCCAGCCAACACTGTCCACCATGGATACCCATTACCACTATTGGCACATCACTGTCACAGGCTTCAGCATCACAGCAACACGAGTTCCCTATGTACAGCAACACACAGACCAGTGCTATACCACCTAGAAGAATGTTTGACAGGAAGACAATTTGAACCTGGCTGAGGTCCACAGAGGAAAATCACCCACCTTCAGCTTGGTAACATAACTTCCTTTCCACTTCCTTTCTACTAGGTCAATGTAGCTCTCTCTTTGTCGTCATCGGTGTTATTGTTGTTTGGTGCCATCGAGTGGTAGACGACTCATAGCGACGCTATGAACGAACGGCCTGAGCACTGTTCGTATATAGAGTTTCCGGATACTCTTAATTTTTTTCCACACATTTTCCCATCTTTATAAGCTATGGACCAGAGCATGGGAAAAGAATAGAAGCTCTGGAAGCAGCACAACTCTACCTAAGATTGTTGCCACCCACTGTTAAGGAAGAATTACGCCAGCTGCTGACTTTTATGGCTATTGCATCAGAGCCAAACGCCTACAGATTACAAAAGCAAGTAAGAAAATTCACAGCTAATAGTGGTTTTACAATTTTATGCTGCTTTTTCCTTTAAAGCCTTTTGAGCTAATGTTCACCTTTCTACCTACAGTATGACAACAAAACAGCAGTCCTGAAAAGTCTTACCAAAGCAGTTTTGCAAACCAAATCATTACAGAAAGTACAGACAGAACAACTAGTCCTGTTCCTGCTGCAGCATCACTCCAAGCTCTTCAAGGAACTTCTGGCATTTTGCTCAAGCACGTTTGTTACTGAGCTATTTGTGTCCAGCAGAAAGGAAATAATTTACTTAATAAATCATTTACGGAGTATTTAAAATGTGCCAGGTTTGAAAGAATGCAGCCTCTCCACATCCACTTAAGAGAAGGCTATCTACTTGAAATAATATGTATCTTTACTAATTTCTTCACCCCAGTTAAAGAACAGTTACTGTGTCCTAGGCACTGATTTAGGTGCTTGGAATAAATCAGTAAACAAAACACAAAGGTCTAGACCTTTGAGCAGCTTATATTTGAGGAGAGGAAGACAAACAGCAGAGGAATTACATAGTAACAGTCTGCAGTCCTGCAAAGTCAGTTCTAATTCACCATGATCCTGTGTATGCCAGGTGAGACTGTTCTCCATCGAGTTTCCAATAGCAAGGATTTGGTTTGGTGTTGTTTTCAGAAGTAAGTTGTCAGGCCTTTCTCCTGAGGTACCTCAGGGTGATCTTGAATCTCCAACCTTTCAGTAGGTAGTTGAGCACTTAACTGTTTACACCACCTAAAGACTCCTATAGCTTGGTGGTGGTGGTGGTGGTGGTGGGCATTCAGTGTGGAACCATCTCCTAGCTGACTGCTCTCCATTGGGTTTTCAGAGGCAGTAAGTCACCCAGGAGTTGATTGCCCAGCTTTCTCCATGGAGCAGCTGGTGGATTCAAACTACAGAACTTTAGATTGACAGTGTCATTTCTTACCACAGAGGTGCTCTGGTAGTCTACTGATAAGAAGCTGCACTGTAATCTCAAAGGCACATGGTTCAAATGTACCAGCTGTTCTATGGGAGAAAGATAGGCAGTTTCCTCCAGTGTGATTAAAACTGCCTCGGAAAACTCGCTGGAGTGTCAGCTATGGATCAGTTCAAACTTGACAGCACACAACAGGCCACCAGAACTCCCTTGTTACAGCTTGACAGAAGGTCATAAACACAATAGAAAAAAGGAGAACTTGAGCAGATTTAGGGGGCTTATGAGTGTTAGAATGAGTGTTGCTGTTGAGTGCTGTCGAGTTCAAATCATAGTGATCCTGTGAACAACAGATCTGAACTTGGTCCTATCCTGTGCCATCCTCATTATTTTTTTACATACTTGAACCCTTTGCAGCATTCACTGTGTCAGTCCATCTGGTTGAGGGTCTTCCTATCTCTTGCTGACCCGCCACCTTTCAAAGCATAATATCCCTCTCCAAGAACTAGCGTCTCCTGACAACATACCCAAAGTCTGTGAGATGAAGCTTTGTCATCTGTTCCTCCTTCAGGGAGCACTTTGGCTGTACTTTCTCCAAGAACTACCTGTTTATTCTTTTGGCAGTCTGTGGGATATTCAGTACTCTTCTCCACCACCACAGCTAAAAGGCATCAGTTCTTTTTCTGTCATCCCTACTCATTCTCCAGCTCTCCAATGCATAGCAAATGATTGAAAAGACCATTGTCTGAATCAGACACTCCTTAATCTTCAAACTGATATTAT